CCACCCGAGTTCAATTTCTGCCCACGGCCACCGACGCCAGTGACGATTATCTGAACCGGTCCTGGGCCTCCCCTAGGTCGAATCAGTCTCAAATGAGTACCCGGTACGGTGGGTAAACATCGCCACTGCGGAGACAAAATCAGTTGGGCGTGGTGCTGGCCACCCACCCTGTTGTGTACCGTGCCGGTCCTCATTGGTGCTTCACTTAACAACACTTGCCCAAACAGTCTGTTAAGGCTCGGCGGGGGATATTTGTCTTTGTGTGTGGCCTGGGTAAATAGCCCACCCTGCACTGAGTAACTGCTCGCCATCAATCGATGGTAATGCCCGGGACACTGAATGTTATCAGCGGTTTGGCCATGACTCCACGGTGCCCTGTTTCCCGAGTCACGGACACCCAAACCGCGGTCTCAACCGACGTGACGGCTCCGGAACGATGGTAGGGGACGTCCGGGTCCAAACGCGCCCAGCAACAGCACACGGCCGGTGCTCGCCTAGAGCCACCCACATGGTGCGAAAGAAGTTCAACGTACCTGCGTGCGTACGTTCGTACGTACCTGCGTACCTGCGTACGTACGTACGCAAATTGTGGCGGCCTTCGCGATTGTTGTCAGAGGGAAGTGGGTGGGGTGGGGGGTGAGGTATGAGCAACGGGTGATCTCACCCCGATCGATCGATAGATCAATGGATTTTATTTATGGCCCTGTGTGTGAGCGCCCCGTTTGAGACAAGTCTCCTTTTGTGAGGGACAGCCAAAGTTACGTACAGTGCACGGTGAGAGATTTTCACCGTACAGCGAGCAAAGCCTCTCCGAGTCTCAAAAGTATTTTATTTTTTCGGAGGTGCTAGTGCACGCGAATGTTTGGCCAGTGCCTTTATTTAAGGATCATATTTGTTTGGTTTTGCCGAAAGGGAAACCGGAGTACCTGGATGAGACCCTTCCGGGCATATGAGGTGGTGACGCTGAAAAGTCCGCACGGATGGGTTCGTGAACCCCGCTTTGCACCACCAAGTGCAGGACTAAATACACATTACAGGCCGTGTTATATCCACTGCTGGATGAGGGCTTCCCCAAAAGCTGTCGCCATCCTTCACGGTCAGACGACGCAACAATTTATCCGGCTATTCAAAGAATTACATCAACAAAGCCAAGTGACGCACCACAAAACGTAACGCGTGGGTGGTCGCAGGCGATATCACGATTCATAATTGATTCATGCGTTAGGCCGCGTAATCATCTGGACGAATTTGTGTCAAGAACCCTCCACCACCCGACGCGGCCAAACAAATTTAATTGTCACGCAGTGTAGAAGCGTGTCACGAAGCTCCAGTTGTTATTGTTTCAGCTCACTCACCAACGAAGTCGTTATTGTTGTCACCGTTTTTTCTCGTTCACCAGCGAGGAAGTTGTTGTTTCAGCTCACAGGTACATCTCCACACGTACTGGGTGCACGTGTGACTGTGGTGGCAGGACACAAGCAGAAGACCGGTAAAAGTTGAAAGAACTAATTCCCACGACAAAATTGAACAATTAGATCCTCCAATATAATTCGCTGAGTAGGAGAAACTCGATCGTGAACTCACCGAAAGTCGGGACACAAAATTCACTCTCACATTTAACGGCCACACATTTTTCATTTTCATATTTAACAGAGCTGCCGACCATCATTCTTCCTGGATCGATGCAATGAGCAGCACTCGAAGGGAAAGTCACGAGCCATCATAATTCTTTTCGAAAACCACATCACCGCAGGTGTCCGACACACACGCACCGGACAATGTGTACTTTTAGTCCATGGGCCGGAGTGAGACTTGGTACCACCCAAAGGTATCGGAACGTTCCTCGTACCCGACCCGATATAATTATACGGCCAAATATTATGAGTGGATTACTTGATGATTCCACTACCCATCATTCACTGGTACTTTACTGGCCACGTGAAGAAATTTGAACGGCTCGAGTTAGTTGGCAAGTGGGTAAGTGGTGAGGGTCAGATGAGTGGTGAGGGTCAGGCAAGTTGGTGACTGGTCAGGGTCAGGTGAGTGATGAGGGTCAGTGAAGTTGAGTGGTGAGGGTCAGGCAAGTGGGTAAGTGGTGAGGGTCAGATGAGTGGTGAGGGTCAGGCAAGTGTGATAAGTGGTGAGGGTCAGATGAGTGGTGAGGGTCAGGCAAGTTGGTGACTGGTCAGGGTCAGGTGAGTGATGAGGGTCAGTGAAGTTGAGTGGTGAGGGTCAGGCAAGTGGGTAAGTGGTGAGGGTCAGGTGAGTGATGAGGGTCAGGCAAGTTGGTGACTGGTCAGGGTCAGGTGAGTGATGAGGGTCAGTGAAGTTGAGTGGTGAGGGTCAGGCAAATGGGTAAGTGGTGAGGGTCAGATGAGTGGTGAAGGTCAGGCAAGTGTGATAAGTGGTTATGGTCAGATGAGTGGTGAGGGTCAGGCAAGTTGGTGACTGGTCAGGGTCAGGTGAGTGATGAGGGTCAGTGAAGTTGAGTGGTGAGGGTCAGGCAAGTGGGTAAGTGGTGAGGGTCAGATGAGTGGTGAGGGTCAGGCAAGTGTGGTGAGTGGTGAGGGTCAGATGAGTGGTGAGGGTCAGGCAAGTTGAGTGGTGAGGGTCAGGCAAGTGGGTGAGTGGTAAGTGGTGAGGGTCAGGCAAGTTGAGTGGTGAGGGTCAGGCAAGTGGTGAGGGTCAGGCAAGTTGAGTGGTGAGGGTCAGGTGAGTGATGAGGGTCAGTGAAGTTGAGTGGTGAGGGTCAGGCAAGTGGGTAAGTGGTGAGGGTCAGATGAGTGGTGAGGGTCAGGCAAGTTGAGTGGTGAGGGTCAGGCAAGTGGTGAGGGTCAATGAAGTTGAGTGGTGAGGGTTAGGCAAGTGTGGTGAGTGTGAGGGTTAGGCAAGTGGGTAAGTGGTGAGGGTCAGGCAAGTTGAGTGGTGAGGGTTAGGCAAGTGTGGTGAGTGGTGAGGGTCAATGAAGTTGAGTGGTGAGGGTCAGGCAAGTGGGTGAGTGGTAAGTGGTGAGGGTCAATGAAGTTGAGTGGTGAGGGTTAGGCAAGTGTGGTGAGTGGTGAGGGTCAATGAAGTTGAGTGGTGAGGGTTAGGCAAGTGGGTAAGTGGTGAGGGTTAGGCAAGTGTGTTGAGTGGTGAGGGTTAGGCAAGTGTGGTGAGTGGTGAGGGTCAATGAAGTTGAGTGGTGAGGGTTAGGCAAGTGTGGTGAGTGGTGAGGGTCAATGAAGTTGAGTGGTGAGGGTCAGGCAAGTGTGGTGAGTGGTGAGGGTCAGTGAAGTTGAGTGGTGAGGGTCAGGCAAGTGGGTGCGGTTCAAGTGAGGGGGGTGGTGAGGGTCAACAGCTATCATTTGTGGCCAGGTCGCTTCACAAGTTAATACCTCAGTGGGGGCTTTAGTTGGCAAGATAAAAAAAACTGTTTAGTTTTATCTGAATATATACTTTAAGTTATTTGTTTACCTTGCCTACACTTTGCACTCATGTCGTTGTTTTTGTACTGTTTTGTTGTTGCAACGTTCTGATCCCAGCTCCGACCGGACATTTGTGGGGGGGGGGGGGGGGGAAGAGCTTCATAGCTCATCGGATTCCTCGAGGATAAACAAACATCCTGAGTTGATGACTGGTGGTGAGTGCCAGGTGAGGAGAGTGGTGAGTGTCAGCTGAGCGGTAGGTCGCCCCGTTCCCAGGACCATTGTCACCCGGGGGGGAGGGACGCTGTCTGAGTTATTTTTCCCCCCAATGCGCCGTCCGACAGGGCCGTGTTAGAAGGACGATGCTCCACGATTTCTGTTTAACGCCACCAAGCCTCCTTTCATTCGCGCGTCCCCTTATCGCCGTCGATGTTTGTCTAGAAATCCGATTTGTCTGTTCGTATCGTTGTAAGTTAGGGAGTCCGTTGCGCTCGCTTTATATTTTGCCTCGTATTTAGTTTTTTAATTCATGCTGTACGTGCGCTTTTACGACCGAACAGTCCCCAACCCCTTCCTTACCCCCCCCCTCCGCGTTTACCCCCCCCCCCCCCCAATTAGCCCCCTCCCCCCGTTTACCCCGCCCCATTTAGCCCCCCCAATTAACCCCCTCCCCCGTTTACCCCACATTTAGCCCCTCCCCCATTTACCCCCCTCCCCCGTTTACTCCCTCCCCCCATTAAGACCCCCCCCCCCCGTTTACCCCCCATTTAGCCCCTCCCCCATTTATTCCCTCCCCCCATTAAGACCCCCCCCCCCGTTTACCCCCCCATTTAGCCCCTCCCCCATTTATTCCCTCCCCCCCATTAGACCCCCCCCCCCCTCCCCCGCCGCACTTTGAATGTCCCCGATCGTGTCGGTTCTCGGGAGCTAAGCAGGTCTGAGCCGGGCTAGTGCTTGGATGGGTGACCGCCAGGCGCTTGCCAGGTGCTGTAGGTTGCGAGTGAAAGGCTGTGAGGTGCCACCAGATGACGACAGCACGGCAACGGTCCGAGTCTGCATTCACATTGAACGTTTCAGAATTGAATCGTAGCCGTTGAGGACAATTTGGGCCGTTGTTCCCTCGTAACTGGTCGGTTCTTTACCGGGTACGCCAATCTCCTCCCACGTGCGAACTCTCACCACTGTTGGCGATAATCGTCATCGACATGATCAACAGAATTTGTAACGCGCAAATATTTTGCGAATCGGGCGCAGTGTTCGATAGGCAACTCGGTAGGCGCGGAGTCAGAGCTCAAAGCTCCTCGTACACCAACCTGGACAGGTGACAGCCTGGATAGGTGTGAGCCTGGGCAGGTGAGAGCCTAAACCAGCTGAGAGCCTAAACGGATGAGAGCCTGAACGGGTGAATGTTGGACAGGTGAGAGCCTGGACCAGGTGAGAGCCGATACACGTGAGATCCTGTACAGGTGAGATCTGGACAGGTGAGAGCCTAGACCAGATGGGAGCCTGGACCAGGTGAGAGCCTTGAGCCGCTGCTTGAAGGTGGATGACGGTGCCTTGATGATGATGATGCTGCCGCTGTGCGTGGTGCAGCTACGGAGAAACGCCGCTCAGCCAGGGGCATGGTGCTGGTTCTGGGCGCCAACGCGCGGATTGTCGGTGGTGTGCCCGTAGGGAGCGGCTGTTTGCTGTGGTCGGCGGAGTGAGGAGCAGAGGTACGGCGGGAGGCCTTGAGCAAGCGCCCCGGTGGCACGGGTTGGCGATTGCGTAACGTCTCGTTGATTTATGACCAAATATGCCAATGCTGGACTCGGCTCAAACATAGCCTGGAGTGAGGTTTTCCTGGATATATATTACTGGCATTAATATCGTGTTGGGAGTCGCTGTTTTATTCTCAATGTTTAAACCCGATGTACCTTTGTAAAAATAGCCTCCTGGTCTCAAATATCGAGTACCTAATCATGAAAATGAATAATAATAAGTAAGTCAGAGCCCTTTGTCAATCCACTGCTGGATGAAGGTTTGCCCGTGCCGTATCGGTCCTGCCATCGGAATATGGAATTTCCAGGGAGGTTTGCGCAACACCGGCTCAGATGTAAATTGCGACTGATGTTAGCCTGGGCCACAAATAGAATGCGTGTGAATATGTTCATTGGGCGGTGTGCAAATCATTGCTTCACAGCTCCACCCTAAATACAGGTATTGCCACTACCACTTAGGCGGTTAAACTCGGCGTGTTATTGTTAAATGTTTCTGCCCAGGTGCTAACTGTCTGTATCAATCGTGACTGATTGACTACTTTGAAAGATTTACTCGTTTTGACAGGCATATTGTTTGGCTAAATAAACTAACTCAACACGCTCGTCATTTGAGAACTATTCAAACTATTTTTGTATTTTACCCGGCATGGACCACTGAGCTGTATCGAGCTCTTTGTCAGAGGCGACCTGGCCACAAATGATAGCTCAGCAACGTGGCTCATCACGTGGAAATGTATAGCAGCCAAACCCTCTTAAATGCACGTTGCTAAATGTGGAGGGGAAGACCGCAGAACCCGGAGAAAAAGGCACGGCGACCACAGCAGGCGTCAAGGTCGAACACACAACCTCCTGTGTACCAGGCGAGGTAGTTCGCATCTCGCCACCGTGGCGCCCCGTAATTGTACATAACATACAACGCGCAGTAGGCTTTTGCGACCAGTATTATTCATAATAAAGGCTTTTGGGTTAGATAGAATTATTATAAATGTGTCGCAACCCTCCACCACCCGACACGGCCAATCAGTAACAAAATGTGTCACGTTAACAAAACGCCAATTAGTTACTTCTTCAGCCCACCGGTGTGTTTGAAGGAGTTAATCCACAACATTTAGAATTTGAATACGACGTTTCGCTGGTAATTGCATCCAGCATCTTCGGGCGATTTGCCAGAATAGTGAAGCCATTCACCTGCATTCGGTCTCAAATAGAGCAGGAAGACGTTATCATTGTTGAACCGCATCAGGTTTCAAGATCAGAGGCGGAGGTGGGATGGTATTGCAATTAGGTAATAGATCAGTAATCAATCACTTAGCATGTGACTGCTCTATAAGGAATTGCAATATGTATTGTGTATTACTTTATACGCTTCCAGGCTGCGCTGAGTCTGTAGTTATCACAGCGGTTGAAATTATTTGTATTTTTCTCAATTTCGATTGATTCTCAAATTAGTCTTGGCCAGTAATAATAAGTTTTGCATAACACTTCAACGTTATCAAAATCAATTGAATGTCCTTGTTGACAAGCATGTACGTGCCTATCGACGTGACTTCACCAAAAGACCCAAATAATATCACTTAAACTACTTGATACACTGGTAAAGAATACAGGTTTACCAGAAGATATTCCAAAACTAGCTGACCATTGTCTAAATAACACTTATTTCTTATGGAGAGGTGACTTCTTTAAACGAAAGGAAGGAGCGTCAATGTGCTCTTCTTTGTCTCCTGCTAGGAGGTTGTGTTAATAACGCGATCTAACCCAAAAAACCTTTATTATGAATAACATACGACGTTTTGGGCAACGACCCTTCTTCATTGAACATAAATGCAAGCGCTGTGGAGTGAGGGATGAAGCGTGGGGGGGGGGAGAGGGTTTTAGCAGGAGGGGGGCAGTAGGGAGGGGGAGGCAGGGCCGTAAGATGCTCGGAGCAAGGCGTGCAAGCACAGGTCAAATTGCTCGCAGCACCGAGGCATTTTCCGCGGTGGCAGTTCCGGAGGCGCTCTTCGCGCAGAGAGGCGAGGTGGCAGCGGATATCCCGTGGCCCACGGCGCCCGTTTATTTACGCAGTGCGTCTGGAATTAGGTCCACGTGGCGGTACCACGTGGCCGGCGTAGCCGCCGGCGTGCAAGGGGGTCGGCAAACCTGCCCTTCCAGAGCCGCGTGCGGCTCCTTGTAATGACTGCAGTACAGGCTCTTGAAATATTGAGGGAGGGGGGTGGGGGGGAAGGTTAATGTGCCGAATTCGAAAAAAATGGCTCTTCTTGTTATGGTGGTTGCAGGTCCATGACCATGGGAGTCAAGTTTACCATGGAGGTCCAGTTTACAATGGGATTACAATTTACAATGGTAGTCCAGTTTACCGTGGGAGTCCAATTTACAATGGTAGTCCAGTTTACCATGGGAGTCCAAATTCCAATGGTAGTCCAGTTTACCATGGGGGTCCAGTTTCCTACGGAAGTCCAGTTTCCAATGGGAGTCCAGTTTACCATGGGAGTTGTTATTATTATTCGTGTGTCACAGCATTACACCGCCGGGCCACATTCGCAATTGGGTATTTAGGGCGCGCGCACGCACAGAGAGAGAGCGAGCGAGCGAACGAGGAAAAACAAACTCACGAAATTAGCCGCGAGCCATCGCCGCCGCCAACGGCGGCAGCGGCAACGCAGAACGACGGCGCTCGTCTCGGGTCCGCTCGACGGAATGACATTGCCGAACGTTGCCGAGGCCGCGTTTGCACGCCGAGAAGCGACGACCGCCACGGGGGGACAAGGTGACGAGAGCGATTCGCCAGGTTTTGCTTGCCGCACCGAGGGGGAGAGCTTCCGTCTTCTGCTACAACGCGTAATATCAACGGGGTACAATTGTGTTGCTTGGGCACTTGTTGGTTGGGACGGGGGTGTGGGGTGGATTGTGTATCGTTGTTATTCTTGTCGTTTGGCTGGTCGGTTGGCTGCTGCAAGGTTTAGGGTTTCGCCATTGTCGTTTCAGAAAAGCGTTTTTTTTCTACTTTTAAAATTTGCGCAGCTGTCCGCATTCGCCGTCCGCCAGACGCGGGTTTTTTTATCCTTGAGTCGGCGCCAGCTGCCGCTGCTGCTGCTACGACGGCTGGTGGGCAGGTGCCGGAGAAAGTGGGTGAGTGGCCTTGTCGATAGGTACGTCGGTGAGACGGTTAACGCGATAGGTAAGTTGGGTAGATGGATAGGTGGTTCAGTGGGCCGGTACATGTACGGATAAGTGGTTTTATAAGTCGGGAAGGTGGGTGGGCAGGTAGGTAGTTAATTAGGTAAATAGGTAGATATGTACGTTGGTAAGTGATATAGATAGGTGAGTGGGTAGGTGGGTGGGTATGTAGATAGTTGCGTGGGTATGTAAGTAGATACCTGTGTGTAAATTTAGTTAGGTAGCTGTTCGCATAGGTAGATAAATGGGGAGATAAATAGGTAGGGGTATGAATGAGTTGGTGCGTGTGAATGTAGGCAGGTGGCTGCATAAATACGTGGGTAGGCATGCACGTTGGTTATACCACCAACACTGTGGTTATACCACACCCTGGTGAAACCAACACACCCTGTGGTTACACTAGACTGTGGTTACACCACACCCTGTGGTTAAACCACGCACCGTGGTTAAACCACGCACCGTGGTTATACCACACCCTGTGGTTACACCACACCCTGTGGTTAAACCACGCACCGTGCTTACACTAGACCAGGGGTCACCAAACTACGGCCCACGGGCCGGATCCGGCCCGCGACGTCAGTCCATCAGGCCCGCCGACGGTACTTGAATTTGGTTGATAAAACGTATGGAACACGAGACGTTGTGATGCAATTTAAATTTAAATGTTTAGAATACTAGGAGATCTTCGCGCGTGCGGAGACCTCCTGACTGCTATGTTCCTTAAATTTACTATTTAAAATGTAAAATTATTGTATCTAGATTTTCTTGTTCATTCAAATTTTTGCTTATTTCGCGCCATCCCAAGTACTTCCCCGGCTCGTGGTAGCTCCGCCTACGCTCTGACGTTACCATGGTTTCCATGGCAACGTCATGGCAACACGTTACCGTGGTTGCCATGGCAACACACACAAACACGCATCTTTCCCGCCCCAAGATTTTCCAGCTGTCAACACAGGTCCGACGCTCCAGGAATATTTATTTATTTATTGTGCGGCCCACGCTCGTCATTCTTTCAGTTATCCGGCCCACTGTGAAAAAAGTTCGGTGACACCTGCACTAGACTGACGATCCGAACTCTGCACCCCCCCCTAAATTCTATAACCTTCGTCGGGGCTCCCCCCCCCCCCGTATCTGCAGGGGCCCCACCACTTCGATGTCCCCCCCCCCCCCGCCGGCTGCGTGGGGCCAGGGAACATCTCCCGCACCGCCGCCCAGCGCGATCATTCACGCGCCCGCGCAAGGGAAGAACCACCGTCCGTTTGACCTCCGCTAAGCGGTGACAGGGTAAACAGGGATAAACAAGGCCCCATTTCTTTTGTGTCTCCATTTTCTCTTTATTTTTTGTTCCTTTGGGTGGCTTTTTAAATATTTACCAGGGGTCACCTTTTTTACGGGACGCCATCGTCCCCGGTTATGAGGACTTAATGATGAGCAGCAGCTGCTGCTGCTGCTGCGTATTTGGTACGTGCGTGGGTGTGTGCGCGCGTGCGTTTGTGCGTGGCAGTGTAGAGCGGTCAGCGCGCTGCGCTACGAACCCGGCGGCCTGAGTTCGATTGCCGCTCACGGCCAACACCGGTGACGATTATCTGAACCGGTCCTGGGACTCTCCTAGGTCGACTCAGCCTCAAATGAGTACCCCGGTGCGGTGCGTAAAAAGATCGCCACTCGGGAGACAAAGTCGGCTGAGCGTGGTGCTGGCCACCCACCCCCCCGTGTGCCGTTCTGGCCTTTGTATATGCTCGCTAACAGCACTTGCCTCAACAGTCTGTTTAGGATATACGGGGGATCTTTGTCTTTTTTGCGGCATCTCGTGGAGAGATCATTGTCACTTGTCTTGCCTGGTTGAATTTTTTTTGGTGTGCGCGTGGCTGCTTTGTGCCCGTTGTTATTGACGCGCGTCGAGTACAGACACCGGGGAAAGAGCAAAGTGGGATGTGTGGGAGTTGGGCAAATGTGGCCTTGACATTGCCAAACAGAGCCTCACTCTTGCGAAGGAGATTATTAACAAGAACGAGGAATGCCCAAAACAACAACAACAACCACCAGAACACCCAACACGGCCACCAGAACACCCAACACTACCACCAGAGCACCAAACACTACCACCGGACCACTCACTACTCCGCAGAACTACGGCTACCACCCAGTACCATCCTGCTGGTCTGGGTACGTGCTGCCCGATTAGGTAATAGAGGTTTATTGCATTGGGCGCCCCTGAGCACTGTGTCTTTGTTATTCATCTTGCAACAATGCGCCTTTGTGAGAGGATAAAGAGGAGCGCGCTGGCAAATGCGCGTGGCGCGGGAGGGGGTATTCTGCGTAGAGCTCGCAAGCGGAGAATCGCCTTTTATTCTTTCCGCCCCCAGCCGAGAAAAAGAAAATGAAATAAAAATGCACGACATTTAAAGGTCGCGTTGCACAGCACTACCAAGCCAAAAAAAGTTTGGGCTTGCGGGAGAAGGAGGCCTCCCCGCTCGCGGATGCAGAGCCCTGGGTGATGCAGATTTCAACATTCGTGCACCAACCGTACACGCGGTTGTCACGAGAGAGAGACGAAAGGAGAATTCATCTTCTTGGTTCTTTCGGTAAAGTCACGTAGAATGGAGACATATCAATATAATACATAATGTTAGCGCTTACATTGGGCTGTGTATACGATATTATACAATGTAGTTTAGATTGGAAGGTATAACATTGTAATGTATAGTAGTCTAGTTTATGGCATAGCTGTAACGCAACACAGGACAGAGCACCGCATCGTGGCTGTTTCTCCCCCCTCCTCCGTTCCGAGCATAGATGGACTCGTCCGTCTGAACAAAGCTCGTCGCTTTCCGTGGTGCTAACGTTGAAAAAAAAAGAAACCGCCACTTTTTTCGACATAGAATTGTAATGTATAACGACTTATTGTTAGTGGGCTCAGCTGATTGGAGAGTATATTGAGTTAATTGATAACATTGATGTAGTTTATATTGTAGTTTTTTTTTATCAGTTTACTATATGGTATTCATTATGTAGTGGAGTAGGCAGGTGTGCTGGGGAAACTGCTCGAGTGTATTGATCACACGGACAGTGTGGGGTTTATCTGGGGTCAGCCTGAGGAGACAGCGGAAAGAGTGGGGTCGTGTGAGGACAGCCAGGTGAAGAGGCTGGGGTGATGAGGTAACGGTCGGGCCAATTAAGCTAGAAGGGCTGTGATTGGTTGGTGTTGTTGCTGGGGCCGAGGAGGCGTCGAGGTGTCTGGTAAAAGGCAGGTGGTTGAAGACGCGAGGCGTGCGGAGGCACGCGGACCAATTAATTAGCGATAATGAGAATGGGGACAAATTGGGGGGAGACAGAGAGAGATGGGGAGATTGGAGTTGGGAGCTGTGCGGTGAAGACGTGGAGTTCGGAAACAGAGTTTAGAAAGGAGTTGGAGCATAGTGGTAGCGAAGCTGAAGCAAGACGAAGCAGTTAGCAGTGGAGTGAGCATAGTGATAGCGAAGCCGAAGCAAGACGAAGCAGTTAGCAGTGGAGTGAGCATAGTGATAGCGAAGCTGAAGAAGACGGAGCAGTTAGCAGTGGATAGCGCGTAGTAATAGAGGAGCTGGAGACGAGGTGTGGCGGAGACAGAGAAGTGAGATTGGGTTTCGCTGTGTGCGACGACGCTGTATAGCGGAGGAGCTGAGGAGGATAGCCAGCAGTGGAGAGAGCGTAGGAATAGAGGAGTTGAAGACGTGTGTGTGCGGAGCAGAGCGACGTGCTGCTGGGAACCAAGGTGGTGAGCGAGACGGGCGAAGCATGGCGAGCGAGCCGCGGTGTCCGGGATACGGCGGAGTGTGGAGGACGTGTTAACGATGAAAATAAAGAAGTGGTTGAAGAAAGGCAAAAGTTGTTCGTGTAAAGTTCACCACTACTATTATATAGTGTAGTGTATGCCCAGTTACTTTATGTTAATAGCTCAACTTATTGAAGAATATATTGAGTACATTTATTATATTGATGTAGTTTATACTGAGTTCTTTCACATCGGCTTATTGTATGATAGTTGGGTAGTTGCAGATCTTTAGCGTCAATATACTAAATGTCTCTGTTGATATGTAAACTCTGACTTTAACATAGCTACTTCCATGACCAGTTACATGCTAATCCCTCACACTAACATCATGCTAATCTCCCAGTTACATGCTAATTTCTGACTTTAACACCCTGCTAATCCAACACATTAACACAGCTACTTCAATGCTAAATTCTTCTGTTGATATGTAAACTCCTTTGTCAAGGCGCTCTGCTCCTCCCACCCAGCTTAAAAGACGCTGCCAAGCTTAGCAGTGTTCATTGAAGCGCTGTCGTCCCGACAGTTCTGTTCCTTCACCTGAAGAAGGCTGCTTGTGTTGTGGCCGAAACGTCGTGAGAATTTTATGTTATGTTTTATTTTTATCATTTTATTTCCATTCTACGTGACTTTACCGAAAGAACCAAGAAGATGAATCCCTGCAGTCACGAAAGCTTTAAATCGAAAGGAGAAGTCGTTTGAATCAACTTCCTACTTTCCCCCCGCAATTGCTTTTGTGCCCTAACGTCCGTCCATCTGCCCGTCCGTTCCCTTCTCTCTTGCCCGTCCACAGTGGCGCCAGTCCACGCCGACGGCCCGGGACGTCGCTCGCCGTCATAACGTCGACAGCCGCCAGCGTTGAAGTTGCGCGGAGGAAAGGCGGTGGGGGGAGCAAGCGAGGAGAGGGGGGGCGGACAGGCTAAATAGGCGACCGATCCGGGTGGTGGGAGGCGGGGTGCGCGCCTCTTCTCGACGCGACCGCAACGACAGCAGCCGAAGGGAGGTGCCGGTTTTGGGCGGCCACGGGGGTCCACGTGAGCCCGTCGCCGCAGACATGAGCGTCGGCAACGGGAGCGACGCGGCAGCGGGGGGCAGCCTCTACGACGACAACTGCACCTTCGACGAGGAGTTCAAGTACATCCTGCTGCCCGTCTCCTACAGCCTGGTGTTCGTCCTGGGCCTCGTGCTCAACTGCCTCTCCCTGTGGATGTTCATTTTCAAGATCCGCCCGTGGACGCCGGCGACCGTGTTCATGTGCAACCTGTCCGTCTGCGACACGGTGTACGTTGTGTCGCTCCCGCTGCTCGTGCACTACTACGCGAACCGCAACAACTGGGTGTTCGGCGAGTTCATGTGCAAGGCGGTGCGCTTCCTCTTCTACAGTAACTTGTACGGCAGCATCGCGTTCCTCACCGTCATCAGCCTGCACCGCTACCTGGGCGTGTGCCACCCAATCCGCTCGCTCTCGTGGCGCAAGAACAGCCGGGCGCGCGTGGTGAGCGCCGTCACCTGGCTGGTCGTCATCGCGCACATGGCGCCGGTGCTGTTCTTCGTCTCCACCAGCCGCTGGGGCAACGAGACGATCTGCCACGACACGGCCAAGCCGGAGCTGTTCGACAACTTCGTCGCGTACAACCACGTGCTCTTCGTCACCCTCTTCGCGCTGCCCTTCTCAGTCATCCTCGTGAGCTACGTGGCCATCATCCGCACGCTCCGCCGCTCCGCCACGTCGGGCGTCCGCACGTGGACGGCGTACAAGCGGCGCTCGCTGCGCATGATCGTGCTCGTGCTCGCCGTGTTCGCCGTGTGCTTCGTGCCGTTCAACGTGACGCGCACCGCCTACTACGTGCTCCGGCAGCAGGAGGCCGCCTGCGCGACGCTCAACGCCATCAACATGGCGTACAAGATGACGAGGCCGCTCGCCTCCGTCAACAGCTGCCTCGACCCGATCCTCTACCTGCTCGCCGGCGACCTGTACCGCCGCAGCGTGACGCGGGCGAACGCGGCCCGGTGCACGCGCCCCGGCGGCAGCGAGCCCTCCAGGGTCAAGAAGTCGTCGTCGTCCGACGGCGAGGAGAAGAAGGCGAAGGCGATGGAGGCGGAGAAGGGGCAGGAGAAGGCGAAGGAGATGCCGAGCTTGGAAGGCGGCCCGGCGGGAGGCGCCGGCTGGGTGGTCGAGCGTGGGGCTAACGGAGGCGCCAACGGGACTCGCGGCCAGCCGCACTTCAACTCGAGGGTGAGCACGGTGAGCACCGTGGACGGGAACTTCATGTGAGAGAGACGCGGCGTGGCACAGAGAGACACTGCCGGGGTGGTGTCGTGGGTTGGTCGTTTTCTTTTTTTTGCCACCAGGTAAGGCCCACCGAGCTACGTAGCTCTTTTCCAGAAGCGACCTGGCTATCACAAATGCGAGCTCAACGAAGCGGCCTGTCACGCTGAACTTTATAGCAGCCAAATAGCCTTGCACACCCACGACCTCCTGTACACCAGGCGAGGTAGTTAACATCTAACCGCCGCAGCGCCCCTTGCTCTTCGTGCCGCTGCCGATGCACGGAGTCGCCCCGGGGACTCGACCGGCGTCCTCACAAATTCGGGTGCCAGGCTGAGTGCAGCCTGGACGGGTGTCGCTGCAGGGCCACTGCAGGGCCGCGATGTCGGCAAGAAGGAGAAGTGGAGCAATATTCATCGTTCTGCATTGTGCTCCAACGTCTATATCCCCCCCCCCCCCGCCTTCACCAACCCGCACTGACCAGGGTGGTGAAGTATGGTCAAATAGCCCCATCCCCCACGCCCCGCACAGCATGGGGGGGGCGGCACGATGAATGGGCGGCACGTCCACACAAAGCGGCCGCGTGCCGGCGGACGTTGTCGAATTACGACGTGGGTTTATATCGTGGTGTATATTTCAGTGTGAATACCGTACATGTATAGTTCATGTATATAGCGCGTGTGTCATATGTGTGGTGCGTGTGTGAGTGATGCTAACTGGAGCCAAGTTCTCGGTGGGTTTAGAACCACACGTGACGTCGGTGCCGCTGGGGTTGAAAGCAATGAAAACTTGAAAACGGACTCCTTGTGTTTTATTGGGGTTTCAAGAAAAAGTCGCTCACGACGACAGGTCTGAGCCTAAATTTCAAGTGATTTTTTTAAAAAAATACGCTTATTTAACAAATGTACAATTAATAAGACTGTGACCAAATCGCCCTATCCCTTTGAGACCGTAGAAGTCTCGCTGGGGTTGTGAGCCTGGATAGTGCTGCATTTGGCGAGCGCAGAGATGCTGCGATGATATTTGATGATAATAATAATAGACAATTGAGTTTGTAACGATCTGGTGTGATGTGTTGCTAAATATTGCAAGACAGCTAATATTATGGCCTTAACTCGTTGGTTTTTTCGCAGCCTAATCTTATGATTCGTGATTGATTTTTTTTGGGGGGGGGGGATTTAAGCCACTTAATTATCTGGCCAAATGTGTATCGTTAAGGCCCCCTGCAGTTAAATTTGGTGGTGAGGATTTATGTTCAGCTTGCCAGCCGCTAAGCCCAGACAAAGTTGATAATAATTGGCGCGTCGCGACACGTTTCATTTGCTTGGGCTGTCTCGGTTGGTGGAAGGTATTGACAACACGCAAATTTGCTCAAGTCCTTGTTTACGTGGCCTCACCCAAAGATAATTGATTGCGAAATTCATCAGAAATCTGTCCATGGTGTAGGTGTCATGTTTGTCACAATGCATCCACTTATATTTGTGTACGTGTGTACACATGATGGTCATTTAGATCGTCATGCGGTCATACCTTGTACTCGTGTACAGTTCATAACACATCGGAGAGCTTGTGTTTGTAAAGTGCCGTATGGCGGAGTCGATGTCAAACATTGACAACTCTGTGAAAGGCAACTTTCTCACGTAATTTAAATGATTTTACAATGACTTTACCACAGCCCGTGTAAGTTGGAGGTTCGAGTTATTGAATTTAAACGTGGTCGGTATTTTTTGTCGTTGCGATTTTTAAATAGTGCGCGAGATGCGGTTAATTTGTTGACCTCAAAGGGAGAGCAGTGAGAGCAGTGAGCACTCTTGACGAAGCGGCGTCCCATTGAAGTGCAATTCACTTGGTCCATCATCACCATCAACAACAACAACAACCCGTCATTCACCACCAAGTGGCGGTGGCGTCACCAAGACGCTTGTGCCAGGCTATGTGCACGTTGAGGCCACGTGAAGTGACGAACGCCTGCTGGCAGGAGGTCACGGGGCAGACCCAGGTGCCACAGGTCGACTGACTGAGACGACTGGCTGATGCACCACCTGTGCCCTCTACTGTGCCAACTTGCTGTGCTTTTGCCACCCGGCGTTCTGCTCGTTGTGAGCGTCGATTCTCCGCCCTCCGTTGTTTTTGGAGGATGACTGCCTCCAACTGCCCAGTAGCGTCCTTCACGAACCTCCTCCACTGAGGCCGATCTTGACACCGCTGGTACCAGTCATTGGCAAGTCCACTCAGCTCCACATCCTCCTGTACCTCATCACTCCATCTCTGTTCTAGCCCGTGCCCCGCCCGTTTAGCCCCCTCTATCCGGCCGAACAAAAGCTGTTTAGGCATGCGGTGGCTGGTTATGCGGGCAACATGACCCAGCCAACGCAGCCTTGCCTGCCGGAGGAGCTCACCGATGGGACTTTGTCCAGATCTTTCAAGGATTTGTGAGCTCCTCACACAATCCAGCCTGGTTAAACCCAGGATGGATCGTAGGCAGGCCAGCCTAAATATTTCTAACCGGCGAAGATGTTCCATTAGGGGGGTCCACGTTTCGCAAGCGTAAAGAAGGGAGGAAATGACCATGGCCGAGAAGACCTGAAGCTTTGTGCGGAGCGACAGACCAGGTAGCTTCCACACAGCGTTACGCAACCGATGAAAATATATTGCCGCTCGACTGATTCGGAGTGAGACCTCTGCTGTCAAACCGGAGGCGGTCATGAGCACACTGCCCAGGTCCACTCTCTCCACAACTGCACCATCATCATTACCACCACCATCATTACCACCACCACTGTCATTATTACCACCATCATTACCACCATCATCATTACCACCACCATTACCACCACTATCATTATTACCACCATTATTACCACAACCATCATCATTACCACCACTACCATCATTACCACCATCATCGTCACCACCACCATTATCATCACCACCACCATCATCAACACCACCATCATCAACACCACCATCATCACCACCACCGTCATCATCGATGTCCCGAGGCTGTCATCCCAGTCTGGAAGAACTCTCCGTCTGGCTCCTCACTCCACTCACAGCTCAGGTCGCTTCCTCGCCACACAGACAGCCGCTGTCCCCCCCCCCCCCCTCCCTCCGTGAATGATTCTAAAGCTGTGGAGAATAAACTAAGACTACTCAACTATTTATTTTATCTACCAGGTAAAGCCCACTCGGCTTTTAGCTCTTGTTCAGACGCGACCTGGCCACAAATGAGAGCTCAACGACGTGGCTTATCACATGGAAATGTATAGCAACCAAATGCCCTAAAACACGCGTTGATTCTAAATGTGGAGCGAAAAAACCGGAGGACCCGGAAGAAATATCCATGCGAGCACGGGGAGAGAGACGCGCAAACTCCAAATACAGGATGCTTTAAAAAAATGTTAACACTTACATGGGACTATCGTTTTTAGTGGAAAAGGAACGCATAATAGACTGTAACATGATAACAAATGTAATGTTAACAGCTTCACAAAGTCAAAGAGTCTCCCATTTGTTTGCCATCGTTGTCAACACGTGGCCTGGATTCTTCTCCAGGTGGTCTCCACATTTCTTGTGGTGTTGTTGCAAATTCTCAGAAGTATTAAAAAAACTAAATTGGAAGCACCCTGTATACAGGCGTCAAGGGTTCTGATTGAACCCACGAACCCCCTGCATGCAAGGCGGGAGAGATAACATCTCTCGCCACCGTGATCTCGTGAGGGCGGTGGATCTTTATGATTTTTCCTATTTCTATTTTGTTCAGTTTTAACACACAATTCAAGTAAAGGACTGAATGAATCGTTTTCATCGTAATGCGTTATAACAGAGCCTACACCCTTGGTGCAATACTGTGTTCGCAGCGCAGCCGTCGCCAGTTTGTAGGGGAAAGACATACAAACTCGACACAGAACGTCACCCGATTAGAGAATCGAACCCAGGTCCTCCATGCTGCGAGACAACACATGCCACCACTTGCGCCACCTAAGGCAGCCTCCATTCTGGATGTTGTGTTATTAATTTCTAAACGTGGAATGTTTACATGTTTTTTTCTTTGCATTGTACTTGCATACCCACAACACTCACCGGTCGCACGTTGTTAAGCCTCACAGGTTGTCTGGGCGACTGCTGTTAGCGAGGGCCTGCATGGCATTCAAGGGGTGAAGTGTCGTGGTCAGGCTCCACACACCGGCTTGCATTTGTCTCCACAGCGCCGATGTTTACACGTTGCAACAGTTGCTCGTTTAAGGCTGAGTTCACCGTGGGGAAGCCATCATCATGAAGGTTCTGTGTGTGATGTAACAATAACAAGAATAGGTTTTACCCGTTCTGGCAATAAAACAAGGTTTTGAGATAATAAGAGGGTTTTTCCCCTTTTTTTCTGGCAACAGAACTGAAACCTTTTTACAAGGATTCATGTCTGCATTAACCACAATACCTGCAGTCAAAATGCAAACAAAAAACATACTATGATAATATATGCATTGTCCTTGAAACTGATTGGTCCACACCAAGGGACGACTTTCTTTTGAGCCTCGACCCAATTGGTGCTCGACCAGATGATGCATTTTGACAGCAGGTATTGTGGTTAATGCAGACATGAATCCTTGTAAAAAGGTTTCAGTTTTGTTGCCAGAAAAAAAGGGGAAAACCCTTATTATTATATTTTGGTACTGGCAAAGGAGGTCTAATAAAGGTTTTGAGATGTTCAAAACACCAATAGAAACCTTTTGCAGGGAATCATTGATCACCCCGAGATGTGACCAGGGTTCTACAATTAATGGCTCTCCGTGGTTTTGTCTCAGACGATGCTTCTAATTCTGGGAAGGAAACGATGCAAAGTGGTTTCTGGAATGTGAGACAAACTTTCAATTGTTGGAAGGCTGTGGAAAATCGTGTTCTTGAATGTCAGCATCTGGGATGGTGAATTCTTCACTTGTGCGGCAAAGTATAAAATGCACGAGGTATGTATGTAACGATGCGTCGATCCATGGATTGATATTTTCTCGTGGTATGCGACTTGTATAAGTTTGATGTCATTGGTTTAAATGAGGCCGTTCTTTTTATTGTAAAAAAGTCCATTTCGAGGGTGGTGGTGTTGGTGGTGGCCCAGGATAATGTGCATTATAACTCCTCTTATGTAACATTCAAGAATAACGAACACGTGTCGAGTAAGCCATCACATAATCATCTTATTTAACAGACGCACACAAAAAATATAACTTTTACGAAAACTGTTTTATTTTTAACCATTTTAATGTACACGTCTCAACGTCGATGCGGATAATATTTTTTGACATTTTTGCCTTTTTACTGTAAAAGAAAAGTGTGAAGTGTTATTTTTGTTGACAATGTTGTGCTTTTAACCCCATTAACTGCACTTTCAAACCACAGTAAACGTGACTGATTTTGCACGCGCGTCGATGGATTTATGATCACCGTGTGGCGCGATTAACTTAGCACAACGGGACACGGTGCGTTTCTACTGAGAATAAGAATGATTCATACATTGTATCTTATGGGGACCCGTTTTGCCGGTGTCGAAATAACTTTTTTTTTTAAATGCGTAGGCTACGTGGCGCTTTATTGAATGGAACACCTCAGCCATACGCTCAAAGGGAAAGGAGTGGGAATTCGAGACCAGATGGTCTCCCCTCCTCATACAACACCTGAAATAAGTCAGCAGGATTGAGAGGGTCGGGAGAGAAGGGACCAAGGACAAGGAGCATCACTACTTCAAGTGAAACGGGAAGCCGTTTAGGTCGCCTCTTCACGTGATTTTTTTGTTACTTTCTTTATGTCAGCTGTGTTTCTGTTATATCCCTCTCTCGCCTTCTCATCCCTTCCACCTTGCTTCAAAGTGTTCTTATTCTTGGTTCTTTCGGTAAAGTCACGTAGAAGGGAAACAATAAAATAATAAAAATATAAAACAATAAAATTATCACGACGTTTCGACTGCAACACAAGCAATCATCATCAGGTGTGAAAACCGCAGCAAGAAATTTAGAAAAAAGTGGCGTTTTTTAAAATATTTTTTAAAATTTTATTGTTTCCCTTCTACGTGACTTTACGGAGATAACCAAGAATATGAATCCCTGCAGTCACGGAAGCTTTAAATCAAAGTGTTCTGTTACTCTTTCGGTGGGGCAGCGGGCCCGTTTCCCATCTTTATATCCCCTGCTCGTCATAACCGGTTTGGCTTTATGTTGACGGCGTAATCCGTGCGTCACGTCGTGATGTACCGGGGGCCCGCCACGCCACGCCGCCTCAATTTAAACAAAAAAAGCACAGGCTTTACCCTAATACACGAGGTGTTCAAACACCAAATAAACACACGCCTATTAACCACACGTTATGCTTGTGGTAAAACATGCAAGCAAACGTGCTTTGATGATGATGATAATAATAATTGTAGTATTGTGCATTGTTTTTTAAACTGATTGGCCTACACCAGAGGCAGCGTCCGCTGTGGCTTTGTCTCACCGGACGGTGTTGAGATCAGAGAACACCAAAAGGCGAACAGCACAAAGGCAGTGCAAATATCAAAGCATTACTCCTTCGACCCGAGCTATTCTCCTATGCCACAAGCACGCGTGGTTAATGCAGACTATATGGCTACTGGACATTTGTGTAAAAAAAAGCCTTAGAGCTCATATAATTCCTCCGGTATGAATAAATACTTTGTTCTGATTTGGTGTGTGAAGATCATCGCACCTCCTGTATTTTTGCCGGAAAGCGTAAAGCCTTTTCATCGGTGCATAATTGATTGGGTTTTGCCGCTACGAAGTGATCTCACCATGTCTGTTGTCAATTCGAATCCCACCACCACCACCCGACGTGCAGCCAAACGAATCAAATTGCCACGCGCTCAAGCACTGTTGTTCTTTCAGCTCGGCTCACCGGGTGAGTTGAACAATCCTCTCGACCAATTTCAGCATCGGTTAGATAAGT